ACTTAAATTAGGCATATAGACTTTAACTTAATGATCAGCTGTAAGCGCCGTGAGGTTGGTGCCAAACATAATTTAGTTCGATTCAATCTCTCATCGATATTATTGTAAACATAAGCTCAACAATCTACAAATATAATTCAATCTTACAGTGAATAAGCGGTTCAATGAACACTAAAGCATATATTATCCACCGTTACTGTGTGTATATTTGTGTGAATCGCTCTATAAATATTCTTTTTTATCAAGGGGAAGAAATAGTAAAAAATATATATATCGCATTTTACACTACGAAAAAATATATAGCCGGTAAATTATATTTGAAATTATCTTAAATTATGCGATTGATTCTGAGGAGAAGTTGAAAAATTCAAACAGATGTTTCTTTTACGTAGATACAATTCTACACACAGAAAAATATTATTCTATTGCTAAGTAAAATGATTACTCAGTTTACTTTACTTCTTTTAAGTAGCAGTTATTTTTAACAAAGAATATTTTCTTAATAATAGTCTTAAAATAGATTTGTCACAAATTTTAGAAATACTCATTATCATGTACTCAAAAAAAGTAAATATTTTCTTTTGAAGAATATTATAAAATTTTATCAAAGAAAAGTCAGATATGGTTATTAACAAAGAATATTTTCTTAATAATAGTCTTAAAATAGACTTGTCACAAATTTTAGAAATACTCATTATCATGTACTCAAAAAAAGTAAATATTTTCTTTTGAAGAATATTATAAAATTTTATCGAAGAAAAGTCAGATATGGTTAATTTAACGTAAGAAAATTTATTAGATCAGAAAAATTTAATGTATTTCTTTCAATTATATAATTTAATATTCTTGATTGAAGTATTAAATTTATTAGGATTCAGAATATATTTTGAATAAATTTGATATTTATGATGAATTTATGATAGATTTGCGGATATATGAACTTTTTAAATACTTGAAACAAGTAATATTTGTATATAGTATGTATTTTTCTGTGTGTAGTTTTCTTTTTTTGTGTCAAAAGATTAATTATCAAAGACTCATATGTTATCTTCAACTCTTCAATATGATATCTTTGTTGATAGTGATGCAATTTTTAATCGGGTTTTTTATTTTAGATTTTCGTATCCTGCAATTTGCTACAATTTTACGCAATGCATGTCTCGCATTAAGGCCTCTAGTATGGTCCTTAACGACAAATATTACACGTTTGCATCAGAGAGACACGCGTTTCTGCGATATGTGCGATTTATATGTGATGTGTGCGTATCATGGCCACCGAGAAATTACGAACCGCGCGAGAGCAAAGTCGGTCTGGATTAGAACCGCCATGGACTGCTGCGCGCGCTCATCCGCCAGAATAACTTTGAGTCTGCATAATATTGTACATGGCTCTCGTGTTTCGGCGCATCATTCTTATCGCAAACCGTGCAATTTAATGCGACGGTATTAAAACCGGTGGTTCTAGCATTCTGATTAACACCATAAACATATTATATTATGTTGCAACCATATACTTGTCATAATTATAGAGTTTCTCGATCTATATATTATCTAAAATCGTATCTAAAAACGTAATCATCATATCAAAAAACCGCCAATCTAGTGGATAAAAAGTTAAAAAAAAGATTTATGTTATACGAAGATCAAATTCATCAAATTATTTAATTCAATACTACTATTTGCAAATGGAGATAAAAAAAGAGAATTTATGAGATAATTTTTGATGTATTTTTGGTACTAAAAGTTACTCTTGTTTAAAATTATTCATATATTTACAAGCTTGTTATGTAAAATAATATTATTCATGACTAGCAATATGATTAAATGTATCAGGTATTGTATTTAAAATTAATAGTGATCTCTCTCTCTCTTTCTCTCTCTGTACGTTAAAAAAAGCATTTCTCGCAACAAGAAATATCCACAGCTATATTATTGAATTATTCTTTTGAATATATTGTGCCAAACATATCAACAAGAAATACATACATATATATATTTATTTATTTATTTATATTTTGAAATCTGCTTATTTCAATGCTATTCATACGCCGAACATCACCTTATCGCGTTTAGCAAACATAGAGAAGTGCAAATGCAACGTTAAAAAATGCATTCGAACGAATGTATCGAGATGTATAATATAAATATTTTGCGGTTAAATATCAATCCTTATGCAAAAATATCTATGCAGTCTGACTTCAAAGTCACTATCGATCATTTTCAACTTTTGAATATGTGTTTAGTATTCAATATTATTACCACTTTTCATCATGTTTATTTTCTATGATGTATGTATAATTTATTCTACCTTCAATCTCTAGAACTATCTTAAGCAATGTCATTGTTTTATATTTCTAAATAGAAAAATTTCATTGAATTTTTTTTTTTTTTTTTTTTTTTTTTTTTTTTTTTTTTTTTT